ATTTTTTCATGTTCGGGGTTTCATCAAGGGCAACTGTATCACAACCCCCTGAATACAGTTCCTTATTGACAGACAAGTTGTTGAAAGTGTTGAACTCAATCTACTAAGGACAGCTGTAATATTCGCATTGAAAGCAGTCTAAATAATGAACAAAAAATTAAGAAAAAATCTGCATGTTACGATCCGGATCAAAATCCAGGAAACTACACTGAATATAATTGATTCTAATCAAGGGCTAACGTTTCTCAAGACGACTGTATTTCGCTCCACTGGAATATTGTAATGACCTTTGCTATTGTAGTTAGTCAAAATGAGTTGTGAATTGTTTTTGATTCGCTAGTACAGATGCTTGCAGCTTGGGAGTCCTCTTCAAGTGTTCAAATTTCTGATGCGGCTAGGAAATATAATCTCGATCTCTAATAAGATGGAATGCCAACCAAAACTGTGCTTCGACATTCTTCCCAAGTTTTGGTTGCGTTCTTTGGCACCAACTCGCGCTTATTTGTGAGGCGAAGTACCGTGAAATAAGTTTCTTGTCAAACAACACAGCTTAGAAAGGATTCAGTCAATTTCACATCTTTTCCTACTACGCACTCTGCGAATTAATATACGAATTAATCGATTGCGATCTCACCGGCCGTTAAAACTAAACACATGTTTACATTAATGTCTGGACCAGCCAAGGCTAATTACTTAAGCTGTACTGAAAAAAGTCAGTTTTGCACGATCCTCAGCGTTAATAACACGACCACTACATTTACAACTATTAAAAAAACCACCCCCTTAACCATTTAAAACCAATACAAAATAACTACTACTGCTACTAGCACAACGATTACGCCATACTCACCGACACAACTGAGCTTTCTTTGCATGTTTTTCGTCCTTAAAGTTTTTCTCTGGCTCATGTAGATGGAAAGATACAACGACTCTATCCTCAAAATGTAGGCCTGTGGTTCAAAAACATATGGCCTGTGGTTCAAAAACATATGGCTTGAACACAGAAAGTCGAAGAAAAAAAATAATGAAGCACAAGATTAGTAGTCTTGGTGAATTGATAAGGATTGTTTCCAAGAGATAAGGATGAATTGCTCATTCAAATAAAACCTTGAGAGGCTTTATTTGCGAATGTACAAAGCGATGACTTTTGTTCCCCTTGCCCAGTGCGCTCACCTAAGTAAATTTGAAAGTGCAATTCAGTTTCTAGGCTTAGCACAACTTGGCAATTTCGCTATATTTCGTGTACTGTAACGACTGAGAGCACAAAACCTTTTACATACGTCACGAGCTAGAGAGGAAATTTAACGAATTCCTTAAACAACAATATCGCTGTGATATCCCAAAGGAACATTGATCATCATATGCACCACACCCTCTCATCTGCATACAGCACCACACTCAGGAAATTCTAATCATGCTTTAGCTCAACTTCACGAAGTAAAGAACGGACACACCCAAACCATACTTACTAAAGCAAAGACACTTTCATAGAAAGCATTGTGATCACACAATCTACTTTAACTACACAAGCTGCATCAACTTGGTGGGTGCTAACAACATGAAATGCAAAAAACCTTTGATTTCTATCATAGCAAACAAACAACATCTAAATGAGCACCTGTTATTACCAATTGGCATATGAGGTAATTTATATTCAGAATGAACCTCTTTAGGGTAAGAGTTTTATCCTTTATATAATAGACCTCGAGAGGTTTGAATAGGGCTCTCTCTTTCATTTCCAAACTCTTGGACTGTGTGACAGAGGGAAACGGTTTTGAAAAGTTGTGTCGTCGGTGTAAAAAATTTCACACATAGCTTTATCTTTAAGAAACCTTTTTGCACCTTAAAAAGTATAATTGAAACTGCACACAATCCCTCGAGTGATAAACTATCGATTTAAATCCAAAACGAATCAACGGCTGCTTCATACGCTTTTGTGGCCGCCATATCAATAGCCATGCCTAAGGGAGGCTAACCTGGCGACTCCCACAGTTCTGTCAATTAATTAGCGGAAATATTTTTATGAATCACCCACGCATGAATAACATTCTAGAACAAAACCTTGACAGTTCCATTAATTAATCAAACTCCAAACTAGAGCTAAATTTCTGAGTTATCAGATCAATTTTTTTTCATTATTTTTGTTTACCAAGGCGCACTTGATGCGAAGGGAGGTGTATCAATTACAGTTACTATTAATATAAAAGAGTTAAAAAGATAACAGGAACCACTTAAGTCGACATGCCAGATGCACTATTTACAGGACCCATTCCAACTTCGTCAAAATAGTTCGCTAACACAATTTAAACCAACCGCAACCAAATAATTGTTGATCAATTCTACCAGACAATAAAAGGAATGAAATTGGCCACGACAAAATTATTTTTTGTTTTTGTTGAATAAACTAGACAAGCCAAACAAGCAACAAAAACGCTTTAGCACGAGTTCACACCGCAGAAGATTTTCCCACTTTGCTTGTAGTTTTCAACAGAGGGGCATTCGGATTCTAAACTGTTTACACACAAAGGTAAATCCAGTTTCACTCGTTACTGAAATTGGTTTAACAAGATTATTCATTTCGACTGTCATCCTAAAATAGTTTAAATGGATTCAAATGTCACAACCACGATCTTGGTTCGACATGTGATAACATGAAAATCCTTCAGTGAGCCATTTACTGTTCGTATTCTTTCCCAATAACACCTCAAACAATAATAAAGGGTTAAGTTCCCAAAAAGATAGAAAGGTTCTGTACCTTTGTACTTGTAATGATATGAATACATTATCACATAAAGTAAGTTAACAGAATTTTTAGAAAAAAATAGAAGACTGTAAAAGTATTGTTTCATGCATTTGAACGTAAGAGTTTACTTTAAAATGTAGATCCAAAATCTCCGTCATTGTGGCCAAACTGGAACGGATTGGTGAACGGGTTTGAATTGAACACGAATGCGGAAAAATCTCTACTGTTTATCTTATCTAAGTATCGTGAACACATCAACCGAGCACAATGTAATTAACACGCCATCTAAGCAGTGAACTGACGCCAACACGAAAGACCACTGGAACGACAAATATCAGTAAATTAGGGTAATAATGTGTTGATAGTTTTACAAATCAGCTATGGAAACCCTTCTTTATTTACAATTATAAGCTAAATGCATTCTTTCATTTCCCATCTATATCTGATCTAATTAAAACAATCCATCTGAATGCTATAAAAACATGAAAACATTAAGAACGCATGGTATGATAGATGTTAGTCTCAAATCGCGATCTACAAGTAGCTGTGGTGCAGATTCTGGAATCACGCACGCATCCCAAGTTAAAAGGTGTACCTTATTAACTAAGAGCTACTAGTTAAACCAACTCTCGGTTTTATCCTAAAGAACTGATTCACTCCTGTCTTGAAATTGGTCTAACTTAAGTTAAAGCAGGTATTACATAACCAACATTCTCGTGAGTAACAACAGTTGCAGCAAAGAATCAAGCGTTTTTCGTTCTAAGAAAATCCATGTCGGACAAAGAGAAGGCAAAATACAAACAGCAAGATAGGCTTTACAGGATGATCGGAGTAAAAGCCGCAGATTATAACATGATCAGATTACGCAAATATTATGATTTTCTTTCTTTTTTTCTGTTTTTTAAAAAAGTTAAGTATGGTATTCGAATATTGGATTATCAAACTTGCTTAAAAACAGTTAGCTAAACGAAGACCAGACAAGTTGTTATTCCAGCCTCCGCTCTACTCCCACGGTGGAAGAAAAAGGTGTGCCAAGTTTCTCGGAATTCTCGATGAAGATATGCTCAAAGGAATGGGGTTTCTTGTTGAAAACATTGACCATGATTGACCTTTACTTAACTTATGTTCACGTGTATTCAATTCATTTTAACCTGAAGGAAACATCCCAGCAAGTGGGAAGAAAATTTCCTGGGAGCATGTTCTCAGAAATTAATGGGAAATGCTATGCATACGGATGTCCGTTGGCTTGTTTACCAAAACGCCACACCACAACCATTAATTCATAAATTATGACAACGCTGTGCAAGTCTATCTGTAGTGTTTAAGCTTATTTACACCATTTTGCGCAGAAACGTTCGACACCTTACGCCATCTAGAGCCTAAACTCAACCCTCGACTGACCCGATGCATGAGTTTGGTGCCTCATTACTCAGCAAAATTTATATACAAAAGCCAAGTGGAGAGCAAATACCTTTTCTTTGAAGGGCTTAAGATTGCGCCAGAATTTCCCGTCCGATAGCAATCGAGCAGTCGTCATTATTTTGTTCAACTCCAACATTCCAGAATGTTTAATCAAAAACAACTGCCCATCTAGATGTTATTGTGTCGTTTTAAGAAATAATCAGTTTTCCACGAACAGAGCAGCAGTTACTAGCTTCTGACAACGCCGTAAGGATCAAAGTACAATGTTTGCCAGCACGTTTCCATGGCATGACGTGACGGCCCACACGTTTCCGTCTTACCGATATAAATCACCCAATTTTTTTTCCGGGTTCTATAACATGCACGCAACATGAAGTCAACAAGGTTGAATGGCTAAATTGACGATATCCAACCCAAATAAACGTTTGAATTGAATTTTTACGTTATCGAGAGTTTCGGCTGAAATTAGTACGATTTTGAAGTATGACATTAGAAATCACACGCGACCATGTTGACGTCGTGACAAGCAATTACGCACGTTGAGGAACGTTTTTTCTTTGACACTTTTATATAAAAATATAGTTGTTGTCAGAAGTTAAAATCGATGTACTTGAAAGTCATTGCAAGCTTCTTCTTTTATTCGTTATTTGTCATTAAGAATATACCCACAGATTCAAATTGACCGTCAGCTATAATATAACGACAAAGTTAACAGATTTCATAAAATCATTAAATACAATTTTGTACATTAAATGGCCGCTGCGAAAGGTTATCAATACTTCATACTGTTTAAGTTGCTTGGATTTTTCAAGACTTCCACTCTCCCAAAAAAAAATAAATATACAGATCTCCATTATCTACTGTATATGAATAACTTACAATAACCACAACCGTGGAAAATAATCACTGCACCGAGTCCCTTACCCGAAGTATTTATATTACATTCCTCTGAAGCATACCTATATACACAGAATGAACGTAATTTTTTAATGTGGTCTCTACACGAGGGTTTTATGACTTTTATGGAGGGAGAAATTATAAACGCATGGAAATATGCTACGTTAAATAAACGTGGATAACCAGGTATTGTGATGGAAAGTTCTTCATTTTCATTTGTGGAGGTCCATGGTATGAACCATGGGTCTTTTTTGATCAAACAAACAAATATATTGATCTCATTGAAATTCTAAGTGTTTCACTACAATGCACTAAAAAATTCCATCGTGAAATTTAAAAAATAAAATGTTTAAAGCTACATCGAGCGTAATTAGTACTTTACTATTGACCTACAATTCAATCTATACTAAAGGTTGTAAAGCACAACCGGTTATGAAAAAACGACAGATTTCTTTTCTCTGTGTTTTTTTTAACGGTTTTTTGCACCAGCCCGCGCAAATCTTATCAATGATTTGAACTACCTGTTCAATGGAAAGTTTCACTAATGCTTAAGTCACATTGTGTAAAGACACAGAAAAAAAATTAGTCACCATGAAGAACACCCAAGCTGAACTGTAGCACTATTTTTTTACCCTTGATTTTGCCGACTTTCATGACCAGTTTACTCTACCGTGTCTACGAGGAAGACATCGTCGATCGTCATGATTAATTCGCCTTCCATTACACCTCTACAGTTTTCCTAACTCAATTTAAGAACTCCTCAATTGGGAATACGGAGAAAATAAATATTATTTGTACTTTATTCCGGGCAAAAAAATTTTGCCCTGACAGCAACTCTTACTTGCTACGGTCTATTTTTTAAAAACTTGGAAGTTCTCATAAAGTTTGCCATTATACGCTCTCAGATTGATGCACTTCTGGAAAAAAAAGAGAAAGACATAAATTTAATCACTATAGTTTACTGACTTTTCAAATAGTATTGATATTCATCTCGTAGATAAACCGTAATACACACCTGATCTTACTTATGATCAACCTTTACGTCCTTTTAATATCCTATATCTTTATTCAATGTTAATAATTCATCTTTCAGTTTACTTCTTTTACTTTTTTTAATAATGTGTATGTTGTTTGTTTTTGGTTGATGATGTGGATTTATTTTCATACTTGATACAAGTTAAGTTCATGATAATTTCCCTCTGTTCAAGCTTGTTTAAATAATTTACCTGAATCTCCCTGTCCAATTGGTTCAAAGTCTTGTTAAGTTGCGAAAACGTGAGTCGCTTATCCGGATCTTTATTCCAACAGGATCGCATGAGGTCGTACCTGAAAAAAATAACATGCGTCGTAGTTAGCAATTAGAGGCAGAACGCGAGATACTGAGGGCAGCTATGCCGGCCTGGGTCGACGGCCTTGGTCAAGTATCCATGCAGTTTAGAAATTTTAGATAAACATTTCATCGAATAACAGGTTACCGAAATTAATACTCACAATTTATTGTGTACATGATTTGGTTTCTCCATTCTGTAGCCACTTTTTAACTTTCTTGTCAGCTCGGAAACGTTCACACCAGGATAAGGAGCACCACCTTAAAGGAGGCAAAAGACAAGAGATGAATAAGGTAATCCTGCATATGTGTAAACCCGCTCACAACGTCAGAGCAATTCACAGTTTCCACTGTATTGAATACAAAAAAAAATGATGCTACTCTACCCCCTTGAATAGGATATTGGTTCATTAGATAACCCCCCTGCACCTCGCCAGGTTTCCTTGAATTCTGCTTGGTACCAGATTATATTGGGGAGGGGGGGAGGGGAGGGGGGGGAAAGCTGGGACGATAAATGAATGAATGAAGGGTGGAGCAAAGAAAAGATAGATCAAACAATGAAATAAATAAAAAATTAGATGTATATCTTGCGGAAGAAATGCTATTTAAGTATATTGAATCAACACCAAATAAGGAACAATTAAATCTTACCAATAGTGAATATTTCATACAGGACCACTCCAAAGCTCCATCTAAAGATGAAATATAACGATAAACGTGAGTAAAATTGTTTTTTTTTTAGTTTACACCAACTGGAGAATGTCTAAAACCATTTCCCAAAAAAATTTAAAATATTGAGCCCAAACAAGTGTTTCTTTATCATAAGAGGTATGTCAAAGAAATAAAATTTCCAGTTTGAAAAATTGATTCTGCAGTTTCCAACAAGAATTTATAATCGCTTGGTGCCTCATTACGATGAAGCAGGGAACAATTTACTTACACATCGCTTTTCGTAGTGTAACGTCCGTGCTCCAAGGATTCAAGTGCTGTCCATTTTAAAGGTAGGCGACCCTGAAAAAAACCGATAAATCAGTATAAATATATATATAAATGAATAGTTATGCATTTCTATTTTAATTTGTTTCATTTCTACAAGGTTACTGTTTCTTACCTCCGACGTCCTTTCGTAAATATCTTTGCTGCGCGTGTTTCGCGCCATCCCAAAATCTGTGACTTTACACGTCAAATTTTCCCCCAAAAGGACGTTCCTCGCTGCCAGGTCACGATGGATAATCTATAAATAGATTTGTAGCGATTATGATTGGATAATTTGGTAGAGAGTGCTAAAGTTGATAAGTGCCAATTTAAGCAGATGTCAAGATCGTTAAAAATATCAATAAAAGTATTTTTTGTCTCTGAGTTCTAGGTTTACACCATTCTTCTTTCCAACCCACAAACTTAAAACCTTCACTTGCTCCACGTTTGTTCTTCGTTTCAACATAGATTTGGTTCTGGGTTGCGTTTGGACTTGAAATAGTGCCACGTTATGTGATGCGCTCGAACTCCAGTCAGAAAATCTTACCTTTGCCGCGCTGAGATGTGCCATTCCATCGGCAATCTCCCAGGCAAATTTCATCAACAGCTGTGATGTAAGGCTTCTTTCGGGGAGTTGTTGTATGTCGTAGTAATCATCCCTTAAACCTCGTTTCTTTCTCAAGAAGCCCAGTAGATCACCGTAAGGGGCATATTCAGTGATGACACATAATGGCTCTGAGAAACAGCAATGGAAAGATTCGCAATAAGATGGAAATCAGATATTGTAATAACACCAAAAATAGAGTGAGAATCTCAATTATGTTGAAAGAAATGCTAAATTTAGGGGGCTTAAATATCATTTGTTTTTCTGAGAGTGGGTGACTCTTAATGGACTGACAACATCTGTTAACCCTTTAATCCCCATGCGTGACCAAGACAGAATTTCTCCTTACAATATCAATACAATATTGAGAATAAAGAAATAAATCAGAGATTTATAAGTTGATCCAATACCAAGTTCCCCAAACCAACGTCACAAGAACCGTATGGCAGACAGTAAGGAGAATTACTAATGAGATCTTGGGAGTTAAAGTGTTAATGTTATTGCAATAATAGAGGGAAGATTTCTCACCAGATTTTGTGACGCAAGCCAGAAGTTGTACCACGTGTTTATGTGATAATAGTTCCTTCATCACCTTTAGTTCTGATAGCAAATCTTCGCGTTGTGATCCATTTGAATTTTCTGGAAATAAGAAGATGTTCTTATTGTAAATTCCTCAATCTGTAAAGTCCTTAAAAAGTACGACAATTAATTCTTTTTTAAAACTTTTTTTACGTAGCAACGTTAGATAAACGCTGCGATTGAGGAATTATATGTACAAAAACAGACATTCTAAGATTAAACTTATCGAGCTGATATTTCAGTTTCAAATAAAAATTCAAATCAATTATTTATGCAACTATTCGTGTTTTGAAGCAGTCGCGGATCAATATCAGTATCTGGGCAACTGCCCACCTACCCCCTCCCTAACCCAACAGTAACCTTAACTTGTTGTCAATTGACTGTTGTTGAGTTAGGGGAGGGGTAGGTGGGCAGTTTCCCAGATACTGATATTGATCCGCTGTCGCTATGTTAGTTTAAGGTCACTTACCTTTTACTGTCTTAACTGCGACTATCGCCCAACCTCCTTCCTCTGTGACATCCAGTGCGTAACCCTTTTTGACAAGCCCAAACTCCCCTCGGCCGACGGTGTTTTCAATTCTAAGTCTGTCCCTAGAAATTTCCCATTTCTGCGATGGAGGAAGAATGAAACTTGTTTCTGGCAAGATACATCTTTTAACTCCAATTGTAGGCGGTTCGCCGTGAGTAAGATGCGAGTACATTTGCATGTCAAACATCCCTAATCCAGTTGTCAAGTGTCCATTGTCGTGTCCCAGCTTGTCATCTGGAAACGAGCGTTTCGAGCTTTTGAGGCTTTTTGAGCCTCGGCCGGTGGGTATGTCATTAAGATGGCTATACACCGAAGACTCCTCTGAAACATAGCAGTAATCATGTGTCACAGGGTTTCTGCTGTATCTGGGTTTCTCATCCTCCATCGAGTATCCAAGGTTCAAGTTCTTCTGAAAGATGTCCGTTATGGATTCATATTCATTCAAAACCTGCAAAATCAAAATGGATTTGATCAAGAACTGGTATAGGGCATGCGATTGTTTGCTTGAGCATAGTTGACTGTCAATCTTTATACCAAAAAGTGTATGACAGCTTTTGATAATTAAAATATTTCTGCGTCAGTGTTAATGGTGGCATTTCCATTTGACGTCAAAGTAACGAAATGTAATTGCTATCTTAAATAATTAATTGACAGACTCTCAGTCCTTTCTAAGACTTTGCTTGTCTAAGGTGCGAAAGTTCTTTCGTCAAGTAGTCTGTAAATTGTTCTAAGAATTGTCTTTTTGATAACTTTACCATACAAAGAACAGTTAATTTAATTGTCTAATATAAGAAAAGTATTTACCGATGTTTCTTTTAGCTCCACCATACTCGCAAGATAAGAAGGATTACCCAGTTCACTGTCAACATCGCTGTAAGGAAATACAGATGAATTGTTCAAACAAAAGGCGATGATAAGTGAATAGATAAATAAATTTAAAACACTTTGGCTTAGTCGATGATTAAACGTTGCTAAATTTCCAGTAAAATACAGTAGAAAACAAGTTATGTTTAAAACCTGTTTGGTATCTTAGAAATGTTTCTTTAAACATAACGCATCTGTTGCGGTGATCAGCAATCGAAGAAATATTAGAACCTTCACGAACGCTCACCTTTCAATTTCTGTTTGCTTATCGCTATCACCACTGCTTTTGGAACAATGCTTGACGATAACTGAAAAGATAAATTTATTGATAAGTTGATATCAGAAAAAAATGAACCTTGATTTCTAAAATGAGATCATGAAGGTAATTTTTTTCAATGATAGATAAGGGGTATGGACCTAGTAAATCTAAAATGCTACAGTGCTATTAACTCTAATAAACTAATTCAGTGGTTTACTTATTGCATTTCCACTTTTTGGGGTAATATGAGTTGTTGGAGCGCTAATTTGACGACTGGAGAAACGCGTGGGCCGCTATTAGTGGTTTCATTTACTTGAACAAAGGTCAGGACGAGTGATACAGACTTCTGACAGGAAGTTATCTAAAATGGCTCAGTATAAATGTCTTTCAAGTAATAAATAATAGAGTTGGTATGCTTCTTCACAAGTAATTTCTCCGTTGAATTCCTCAAATAATTTCACTGATGTGAAAGTTTCCTGTTTCTTTGTCCAAGAAATCAAACAGTTTTATAAACAAATGGAGACAAATACCTTGAAAAAAGTGACCTCTGTATAAATTTTATCACGGGCTGCTTTGTAAGCTTATCAGTTCGGGTGATTTTAAACTATATCTTTAAAAACTAGCAAACTTTAATACGGATGCTCGCCAACAGTCATTTTCGTAGTTTTAAGATTCTCTAATGCACCTAGCGTGAAAGAATTTTGTTGGGTTTCACGATGACGTCAAATCGCACGATTCAAACACGCCTGCCTGCACGCTTGTCAAATTTGAACTTTGTTCGCTGAATCAGAAATTGAATTAAACCTTTGTACTAACTGTGGCTGTTTCAGTTGGACGAATTCGCGTTGTTGTAATTACGTTCTCGCGTAATGTCGTGTTAATGGGAAAATTTTTAAGCTTGTTATGGTCCACACGTTTCAAATAATGCTTTTTGAAGCCCTAGAAATGTTATTTTCATTGACGTATGGTGATAGCACACTGGTTCGTTCCGACAGTTGCCAACTTTGATCTTCAGGAAGGTTCTACATGTATAATGTTTGCTACCAGAAGAAAGAAAAAAAACCTAAGAAAGGGACCTAAGGTATGTAACATTGTACATATTTTAAAGGCTTATGTATCTCCCGAAAAGTTCTATCTGTTATTAAGCTTTATTCGAAAGCATGGTGGCACTTTTTTGTACGAATGCGTCAAGTTGTTGTTGTTGTTGTTTTAGACTTGAAAATCCGCGACGACAATTATCGGCTGTGGTTCGAACGTATTTGAACAACTTGTGACGCAGCAGTGTGCGAACTTTCTTTGGAGCTTAATTCTTGGTCGTTTTCTTCATGAAAAAAACATCGGTACTTTGACATTTGGTGCGCGCGGTGTTTAAAAGTTGTGTTTAGTAGTCTGAGTTCAAGATATTCTCTTTTACCCAGACTTCTATACCTTAGTGTGCCATTCCTTTGTACAGAGTATGACTAAGTTGAGCTTATTAATTAGATGATTCAGCCGGTCATTCGTAAATTTCCGAATAACTTACTTCTTCTGGTGATTTTCCAAACCACGAACACGAAAATAGGTGTTACAAATGCCAGCGCGACGAACCATATTGGTGCGTAAAAGGAAAATATGCCTGTTCTGTTTTCACTGGTTTCAGCTGTTGAGTAGAGTGCAAACACATAAAATGTCACAATCTAGAACATATTTGGAAAACATGAAAGTTATGTGAGCGTTGCATCAGATTACGTTGCAAATTCCTAATTCCTTCAAATTCTTATTAGTTGCATACAAAGCATTGGAAATTTCCTGATAATGTTTATATATCAATATCGGTAAAAGGCAACATGTAGATTTTCTGCGCAAATGTATACTACATTTGCTTTGTGTAGAAGTACACTGAAATTTTTTTTCTTGTCATCCATTCCTACTGCATTAACGCGCAAATACCTCTTTTGTTTCCGTAAGTCTTATGCTTGACAATTGATACCTACCTTGTCTGGCAGTAGGCAGTTCTGTTGGAAGTTTTTCGGTTTTCCTTTTCGCGACGGTCGATTCTGCATAATTGAACGAAAAATCAGGATTAATCAGTTCTTTAATTCAACAAAACTGAATGTTTTCTCTTTCCATGTTTACATTGGAGATATTTCCTTCTTGTTAAGACTTTGAACCCTAAGGGTGACCAGCATCTAATTTCTCCTTACAGTAATAATGCCGAATCACTCATTTGGATCACGGTAGTGAGAGAATTAACCGCAAACAAACGAAGCTCTTAATCGTCAAACAAATTCTCCTTGTCAGCACCTCAGGAAATATAGAGAGCACAGTATAGAGAATATGCATTCTGATGTTAATTATCGATTAAGTCATTCCCGTTAAAACTTACCTTGTTTTTTACTAGATAGGAGGGTTAAACTTGAAGTGGGTACCGTGGGCATCTTTGTCGAAATTTGCGCTAAAGAACACAAACAACACGAATACGAAAGTCAAAGAAACATCTACGAGACGAATTTGCTAAAAATGTTTACAAATTTAGAATCGATCTTAATGACGGAATAGAAGAATACAAACGGTTTTTTTTCTTGAATTTGTAAAAGGCGCATCTTACAACGTGGCACTTGAGTAGGATAAAAACTTTAATTACCTTTAGGATTTTTTTCGGTTCTAAATTTCCTTCGCAACAGGGGGAAACTTTCGCCATATTTGTTCCATGCCGACACAGCCATCCAGTACATTTTGTCCCAGTCAAGTTCTAGGGTGTAACTCAGGTTGGTGGTATTCCACAAGCCTAACCTTTCCTTAGTGTATGATTCAAGTCTTGCCATAAACCCCCAAACATAAACAGTGTACTTTAAAATGGCGCTTTGTCCATTATAAGGCTCCCTCCATTGCAGTGAGCATTGTTTTCCACTAACACTGATGTTTGTTACTAATGGTGCATCCGGTGGCCCTAACACAAAACAAATTGATGAGGGAAAAAGAGCGGTTGATGAGAAATTGAACATCTGTACATAGATGCAAATTTTAGCAATTTGGACAATCGTGGATTTACTCATAGGTTGTGAAACTTGAAAGATAAACAGGATTTTAGAAAGTTGAAAGTAAGGGAGGAAATGAAGCCAAAAGAGGTGCCCATCGTTTGAGAGGGAGGCATCTATGGACATGCGTAAAACGGTTTTTATTGTACCTGCCAGTAGAGTCGTGGCACTGACATTGGATGGCTTTCCATAACCGACCTCGTTTCGTGCTTGTATTGCCACAAAATAAGTCCTGTTTTTCATCAATTTGTTTATCACCAACGATGTTTCCTTTACTTTCTTGTATTCCTGTACCAGTGTATTTGAAACATAGTCTACAACTTTTACGAGGTAATCATAAATCTTGATGCTGTTGTCTTCAATTGATGAAAACCAGGTTACGTTTAACGACAGTACATTTGGCACCACCACGACTTTGGGGGGCTTGGGTGGATCTAAAAGAATTAAATTGATGATGTATAATAATGGACGATGAGTAATATTTACAGACAGTAGATAATCAGTGACCGACTGGCCGACTGTCTAACTGACTAGCCGACCGAGCGAGAGGCTGGCTAAATGACTGTCTGATGGACCGACTGGCCGACTGATGAAATGATTAGCTGAAAAGCTGTTTGACTAACCGTTTGAATGACTGACTCACGGAGTCAATGAATAACTGTCGGAATGGTAATGAAATGAGATGGTAATGAAATGAGATGGTAATGAATGAGAAAAAACAAAATCACCATATGATGTGTGCGATCGAAGCAAATAAACAGCCAAACAATGGATGGACCAGTTACCTCATGCATAAGCGAACGATCAAGACAGAAAAATGTCAAACTAACAACGCACTGACAGATAAGTCGCGAATGGTTCTATGGAGCTTTACCTGCTTCAAGTGTTTTAACAGTGACATTCGCGGCTTGTCCATAACCGGCAATATTTCTTGCTTGTAGCATCAATATGTATGTTCGGTTTTGTTGCAAATTTTTAAGAGTGAAGAATGTTCCCTTAATTCCACTATGTGTCTGAAGCACATGTCTGTTTGCATCAAGCAGGGTAATCATAAACTCTATTATGCGGCTGCTATTTTTGACTTTTGTCATATTCCATGTGATGTCGAATTTAAGCACGTCCGGTGTCACTTGGTATATGATAGGCGGACTGGGTGCATCTGAAATAAAAAGAAATCAGAAGTTTTATGAAAAAGAAATCTTACCAGTTTTACACATACTTAAGAATCAATCAATGCACTCTTATAAACTATCACAGATCTATCACTTCATCGAATCAACAAGCCATCCTCCTTGCTTTTTCAATCACGAGGAAAAAGTAGCTAAAAAAAGATGCCCAGTCTCTCTTTCAATCCTATTCGCAAAACACGAATTTTGAACATTTTTCATAAGCATCTCAAAAGAAACTGTTGCATTTTACTTACAAATTTGAAATATTCCCATATGATACCAGGCAGCTCCTTTGATGTTTGTCGCTCTACAGGAATACGAACCAAAATCGCCCGCAGTCTTAGGTCTCAGCGTTAGCGTGCCCATGTTATGCGCAGAGTTCACACCATGCACAATCCGTTGGCCATCTTTGAACCAAGTAAAGTTTGCCAGAGGCTCAGCATCTGCAGAGCACCTCAGGGTGGTCACCTTCCCAATCCATGATTGGAGTAATGGCTTTGAAGAAGCTGTTTTGTTGATGCGAGGCTTATCTGAACATAGGGTAGGGAGGAAAAGTTTTCAATTGGTACTGTGTCTTGGGATTTATCTGTGAGTTACATCTGAGAGTTTGCCACATTCGTGTGGCTGTCTTCACGTGCCACGATGGTATGTTTAATTTTTGAACGCCCTCGTCAGGGTTTCTCAATTTGAACCTTTAATAACTGACTCTCCGTGTCACTTCTTTTCCATAAGTTAACGACGATTTAGCTGAAATATGTTCTTTTTTTCCAGTCATTGCGACATTATGGTTTGATCATTGGTTTTGAAAGGTTCTAGCAAAGATTGAGATTGGTCTCACATTTTGAAAAGTAACATGACAAAAAAAGTGTTTCTCTACTTACATCGCACAACTCTAACTACCATGCTGTGAGACACAGACCCAGCTCGGTTTTTCGCGGTGCAGGTATAATTACCAGCATCTCTTTGTTGTAAATTTGGAATTTGAAGCACAGCAGATGAACTGCTGTTCTGAAGAGGAGTTCCATCTTTACTCCAAGTGATACTGGGTCTGGGGTCACCACTTGCGTTGCAGTGCAATCGTAGGTCATCTTCCTCATCGGCCTTTACGTTCGCATTCGATCGACGGGTAAATTTTGGTGGGATAGGATCTTTGAAGTGAGAAGGAAAGAATTACAATTAAAAAGATTCGTGTAAGTGGAATGTTATGACATTTTTGGGCTTTGACAAGCTAAATTACCATTCGAAGGAAGGAACTTAGGCCTTGACTTAAAAGGATCATGTTATGTGTTATGAGTCTTGTTATGTCTGGCTAAGCCTGTTCCTGTACATCATTTACAATCCGTAATGATCTTCTCCACTCTCGGTCATCCTAGAGCATGTTAGTTTGTTATTGCCTGTTATATTATTTTATATCGCACCGAAATAACGTTTCAAAAGTCGTCCTCAGAGTTAAGGTGTTTTTTTTTTTACATTGAAAAATATTACTGAACTGAGATGACATAAAGCTTAACGTGCACTGAAACACTTCACTTCAAAAAGCGCGAAATTAAAGGCAACACAGACAGTGATTAAGTCTTCCTCGTAATGGCTCTTACCATGAACGAATAGATTTATTGGACCACTCCTTCTATCGAGCCCACCCACTATCACCGTGCATCCATATGTGGTCTGATCTGCTTTGCTCACATTTCTTAAAACGAACATTAGCTTACATCGATGCTGAGTAACATTTCCAATCCAACCAGTTCTGGATTTAATGGCAGTATCAAGTTCGGGGTTGGACACTGCAATCCCCTTCCTTACTGTGATATACTTGTCTCTCATACGAGCATTTCCGTCTGTTTGTCCCCAAATAATCTGTTCGAGCTTTTTCCAGTCTTGAAAATTGCCAAAACTCAGTTCCCAATGGAAAGTGACATCAGATCCCTCAACTGCAAATATTTTGAATGGAGGTGTCTTTGTAAACTTTGTCGCAGAATGAACTGAAAAAGGATTAAGTGGAGCTCGTTATTCAGATGAATGTACTTTAAGCATTAACGTTTACTGTCAAAAAGAATCAAAATCCAGAATCTACAAGGTTCAAGAGATCTTATTTCATGCTCCTGACTGATCTTATATCGCGTCTTCGACTCATTACAGCTTTTTTTGTCTTTTGATTCTTTTTATATAATGTGCGATATAATACTCAACACATAACCTTTCTCGATTCATTCTGGCCTTCGATATTGTTCTGTGAACAGCTTATTTATGGTACATATTTTTCTACTAACTAATGGCGGTGATTTTCCGATTATTTTGCTATGATCAATTTTCAATAGATTGTTGAAGGTAATAATGGATTGCAATGGTTTGACTTTGCTCAGTGATTGGTCGACTTCAAAACTCAATTCTCATTCCCAACCAATCAGACGAAAAGCTTAAACAATCCACTAGCCGCTTACGTTTTCTCGCACTTCAGGTGGTTTACTTGTTCATATTTCTTTTATGATTGGCTTCTAAGATTACTTTGGTTCAGTTTTAACGACACTTACCATAAAGAAAATAAAACTATATAATAGTTACTTACGGCTTGCGACGGCTGTGATGTGAAGGACACAGCAGAAGATAAGAACCGCAGCTCCTCGTAAAGACAACATCACTTTTCAGAGTCTTTATAAAACAAATTCAGATCCTAAAGGGAAAAGATCAGACAACTTGAACATTGAAGCCATGAGTTGACTGGGTGTGTATTTGTTTTTCGTCCCTCTGTTGACTCGGTTATTTGTTCACCTATAGGTTGTTTTTTTCCTTGTGGGCACCTCTATCTTGGAAGCAATACAATGAGATTTGCTTTCGCTGGTGGTAAACTCCTTCATTAACTCTATAAACATTTATTGAAGTTTCCAAGCATCTCTCATAATATTCACTCGGCAGTAATTACTCTTTTTGTTTACTAAAAAGTTTGATTGTTTTTACATGAGGTGACTTTGGTGTCACTGCAACAGTCGCGTGCCGGTGATAATTGACACGAATTTACTAAGGCATAAAATAAACACTTACTACATTATTTCTGCAGATAAGCTAATTCTTGCTTTTCTCGCTGTGACATATTGCCGCTTAACGGCGTATGAAACTTATTGGCCTTTGATCAGTTTATCTCATTTTCACGCTTCATTCCCGATCCACGAAGATGACTTTCCAAGTGTTTAAGCCAGTTAGGAACTTAAGTACATTTTGTGACCTGAGTTACCAGAAAGTTTGTCAAAATCTAGCCCCTCGCATAAGTGACTCTAAAAGTCCTAGGAAGACTGATGCGAGTGGCCCTCGATCACTACACAGATCTTAAGGTGATATTTCTCTCTGCGCATGAAAAAACTGATAAGCAGTAGCTGCCACGAAACTTAAATGTTTCGTTGAATTACATATTGTATGTATTTTCGAAATATCTTTTTCTTGCACAAAATCTTGTTAAGGATTTTATCCCAAACCCCATTCCGACTTGAAACCTTTTTCAATTTGCAGCTCTTTACTCTAAATTCCGGGTCGCTTGCTGTTAGCTTGCCATGTGAACGAGCTAAAAATGGGTTGGTTGTGATCTAATGAAATTCATTAAGCATATAATGAAAAAAACTAATAATCCTGTTGGTATCAAGATGGAAACTGACGTAATGATAAGGAAAGAAAACTGCGAGAGAACCATACCTGTTCCAGCCAAAAGCAGGAGAACCTCCTACCTGCGTGCTATTCAAAGCGACGCAAAGCTTAAGAGAGCTCTTTAAGTGAAATTATACAATATACTAACGAACTTTGTCCTATTGGCACGTTATCATCTAATGACTAAGGAGCGAAAAATTTTTGCAGACAAGCAAATGATTAACTTGTCCTTGCGATTCAATCTTTTCAGGCAAAATTATCAAGTGATCCAAGTTTGAAAAGAAACAGCTCTGCATTTAAAACAAGATAACCGATCCAAATCTAAAGGAAAATGGCTGTTTATGGCCTCTGGTGTTGAGATGAAATTGCCTAGATTTTTAAAGAGGTACATTCGTGGAGTCCAATTTCCTTCAGTGTTTTTTGGGGGTCTTCTAATTGAAAATCTATGAAGTGTTAAGTGCAGTTATTTGAGAAAACAAAGTTTTCTTGCCAAATAAGTTACACGCGTGTGCATGTCTTTTAACGCTTTTTATATTTCTGAGCCAAGGTACTTGAAAGTGTGCTAGCATCCATGGTGGTCTCATTGCGTGCAGCAAACAGAAATATAGATTCGTACTAAAACTAACCATTACCAAAATTGTTCTAAATGAAAGTGCGCATTAGCGAAAAAACTAGACAGAAAACGTAGAGCTTGTGTTTTAAAGCATGCTGTTCCATAATAACAATCGTTTCGTGGAGTTCTTCGCGTGCAGTTGGCCCCATCTAAAGAATTTATCGAAGACCAAAGCATGCCATTATGGACTGAAAAATTTGCTAGCAGTTGCAGTGCTGGAGAAAGACAAAATACTTACAGCCCAAGATTTCATACATACCTGGTGTTAGTAGAATCAACACGGTGTTTGTATCTGTCTTAAGCAAATGATCTCCTCTTACAGGGACAAGATAAGATCGTTTTTCAGACAAGAAAACAGCGAAATGCAAGTTACATCTGACTAACGTCCGTGAAATATTCTCTTCGTGTCTCTAACGATCTTCTTCTTCCTTTTTTACTCAGACGGGTTGATGCCTCATAGAGACCTCAGCTCACAAAATCGATCTTTTGAGTTATTCACGTGTTCATACTTGGGCATGCACGCGACATCTCCATAAAAGCCAATCGAAGCCTTAAAATAACAGATTATGTAATAGGGGAAACACACGACTTTCGCAAACTAAAGAAGAGCTCTCGTAAACTCGACACGCGAGGCTTTTTGAAAAACACTTCATTGTGACAGTAAATGCAGCAATTGGCAGGCAAAGAGACCACTTGCTTTATACATGTATTAAATGACCTTTCAATATCCTAACCCTACAAAAGCGTTTTATAAATTTACTTCCTCTGTGTGTACGATGTTTGTTCAAACTAAAGACCTTGCGCAGGAACATAATGTGTATGAGAAGGAACTGTTCAGAAATCTGACGTTTTCCTCTCAAGAGGAAACACCACTCTGTTTGCTGAGCTTTTCTTCGTCTTTTTCCTTTAAGTTCGAGAAAGGGTGTGGATTGAAGATACTTGCTGATCCGAAAGAAAAAATACGGTTTTGACTACCCCACACTGTGTGAAATACGGCTGAAAGTTTTAAAACCCCACGTACATCAACTATGATCTCACTGCGAAAGCGTGCGGAACTCGTAAAAGAAAAACAGCTTAGTTTCTTTCATCTTAGCAAAACAAATAGCGGTGTACTCGCCAAAAAAATGTCTAATGATTTGTATTATCTCACACGACTGGAACGTTCAGAGCACAGCGTTGGTGCAGATGTTGTTATCATAACCGAGATGCAGGCACTCTATAGAAATAGAGTTACCTTTTCGACCCAGCCTCCTGTTCCTTACATAAAACTCTTCTGCGATTTATGCTGTCTTTTTGGGCGAGAGTCTAGTTGGAAAAAAGTTGCTCATTTTTGGAAATATATCTCCTTGTTTACTAACTGATCAGGAAGTTGACTCACTTGTGATTTTGCCCATATCACTTTCGTCAGCTTCAATGCTTAGGATTATCTATAAACATGATTCTTGAAAAGCTCGAAAGCTTAAAATAACCTGTTTACCATGTTACTAGAATGTACAGTCCGTGGAACCGAAGATTTCTATTTGTTTCGGCGAACACTGCTTTTGACTTCCGGTATTTTGTGATAAGCTCATCTCCTCTCCACGAACAAGCGGTGTTTTCCTTTTAATGATTCTAGAGATTTCCTGTAACTGTGTCAGGTACAGGGATTTTTTTTCTTCGAGTTGGCCAATTAGACATAAAAAGTTACATTTTCCACCATTTTTCTTCACAAGGTTTATTTCCATTAGGCATATTCTTCTCTTTTTTTATGTCGCGACAGCGTTAGCCTTTCCGGATTCAAGTAATTATGACAAATATTTTTTTCCGAGCGCCTTCATGTTCCAGTAAATTACCTTGAACACTAGTAACTATCTCAGCGCGCGTTCGCATTGAATTGGTTTGTAGCAGCAGATTCTAAGCATTTTGCAGCCTCTATCACTTCACTTTTGCAACCAATTTTCCTCTCATGAATACCCGTGGGATAATAAACCCCAACGACATAGACCAGGATTAAGTCGTCGGGTACGGAAATCGTTATGACTTAGCAGAAAATGCCTCCGTGTGTTTATAATTTATACTGCTAAAACGTTATTTAGACGGTAGGCCACTTGGGAATGTGTAGAAATTTATAATATTTTCAGCCCGAAATGGTTGCAGTGTTATGCAACATCACTATCTCATCACATTAATAAATTCACGGAGCCCATTAATAAAAGGCAACTGATGCAACAAAAGCTCATCGATACTAAATTAACTCAGTTCCCGACCATCTACCGCTTTTTCTTGTGTCTTAAGGAACAACCATAACATTCGACTCACAGCTTTACAACATCATCGCTTTTTCACACACCGCAAAGCGTTCAGCAGTTTTCACATACCTTTTGCTCGCTTTATATGAATTGTGGCCAGGTTGATAAATGTAGAGGCATACGAGAAATGAAGAATAGCTTTCACTTACACCCAATAGTGGTGCGGTTTGTTGCGTGCGATCTTGTTGTTTCTGGTGGGATGAGTAGAAGGCGGGTACATATCGTCTTACCACAGCGAAAACACGTTCAACAAGTTGGACTACTCATTTCCATCAAGATCTGTCGCTTACGAAAGAGGTTTCAAATAGCAAAATGCTATAACGTTACTCAATCTACCTGTGATTGGTTTAATCAACGTCGCCACAGCGGGCATTTCGGCGAAGCGACCTAACTTCTTCAATTACCGTCTTAAAGTCAACAAATCGTACTGATATGTTTTTAACAAATGCAGACCTGACCAGAATCCTTAAGTTTCTTGGTCCTCTTCCTGTTTTCCGTTAATTTTCTTTCCTTCCTGTTCCTGTAGTGCAAGGTATGTTCGTTTTGCTGTTTCTTGCCAAACTTTCTGGAACGTACGGTAGGAGCACCTATCTTGTTTTTGAATCACAAATTAAAATTACAGAGTTTTGGATTAGATTTTTAAGGTGTCTCTTTTTCTAACTGATCCTCCAGTGCCTTGGGAGACTGAAGTTAGACATCTTCAGAAAACACGATTCATCTTAAGAAGCAACTTAAGAACATTTCAGTATAGTGTTTCCTTTAACTGACATTACAGTCAATCAGGATCAGTTTTGCAGCATGTGCTTATGATGCAAACTCTAGGTGTTAGTAATCAGTGATTAATGAGATCAAAGGGTACGTGATGCATGGGCAATTGGCCACTAGTCGTGTATTGTCTATACTCCATAGCAATTGATAAATAATCGAACACAAAATCTTTTGATACATGTTTGATCCATTAATTACCGATTAAGCCATCTTACCTTCATGATCATATCTTGAATCACTGATTTAGTGGTTGTCAACCCAGTAGACAATTTTCGCATTTAACAAGATTGCACTTAAATTGTGTGTTGAAATTAGGTTACAAATTGCAATTGAG